TTGAATGCACTGGTCTAAAATTTTGCCCGTTCATATCCTCAGTTGTTTGATTACTGCCCACAGCTTGTGGCTGGAGCACAGAGCAGGACCATAGTGGGACCAGTGAATCACCCTGGAGGGGTTTGGAGATCTGACTAGGAGGCGTTTCATTTTGTCCAACTGAGCGGAAGCTCCAGGGTAGACCCAAGGCACTCTGATGAGATTAAGTCTCTTAGCTGGTTTGGGAACTCCTTGGCGTTCCCCCAGAATAGCTGAAGGAGGTGGCTGGGGAGAGGAAGGTCTGGGCACCTCTGCTTTGTCTGCTGACTCCACCCAGATAAGCAGTAGAAAATGTGTGGCTGGAACTTTAATTTCAGTCAGTTCCTAATATGCATCTTACTCAGTATTGGCTGGGTAAGAGACTTTGGGGACAGGCTTTTTCCTGCCTACAGGAAGTTTTGGCACCTCACTAAAGAAGTTTTAACCAGAGCCAGAGAAAAATCCAAAGCAGTGAAATAAATTGTATTTTTTAACCAGTTTTGTTAATTTGATATTCCTTTTAATCTTGCTAAATTAGCTATAAAGTAGCCAGAAGTAACAGGAAAATGCACAGATTTCTTTATTATACAGTAACAGACAAACTTTTCTGTGCTCAGGGATTACTCTTAATGCCACAACCCAAAAACCCATTCTGAGCCAGGATTGTTTACTACTGCAAACACATAGTAGGTCCTAAAAGTTCAGAAGCATGAAGGTTATTTACTTTTACTGCCACAATATCATATCTCAAAAATAAATCTGCCTCTAAACCAGAGAGTCATACTCTTTTTAGGTCATGGACCACATACAGGCCATGTTGGTCTCAAGTGTGATGGACCAGTAAAGCTACTGGATAATATTTAATCATAGTGTGTCCAGTTCCATTTACAGATCAGAGTACGACACTTTTAATATATAAAGTATTTGGGAATTTAACAACATGGTCATAAATGTGATTCAAACAAGTTTGAAGTTAAGATCTAGAAATAACTTAAATTTTCCTTTAACTTTCCACTTCTGTGTAAAAATGCTTGCGTCACCACACCAGGAATAGCCGTGCTTTTTATCGAAATATGTGAAATTTTAATGAATTCTCTGCAATTTCTTAGACTTTGCAAAACCATCCGGTGGGCCGGTTCTGCTCTAAATCTTTTGCATAATCCAGCCATAGTGCAGATGCTGAGATCTGAGTGCTAAGTGTGTTGTTTTCTGATAGCAGACCAGCAATCCCATTAACATGTGATCAGATATAACTGAGAAATAACAAGAGCTTCTAGAGGAGAATCAATCTATATAAAACATTAGTCTCCAAAAGTCGATGATGCAATAGCGACTTAATGTGTTGAAAAGCAAACATGCAGGTTGTTGCTCAGGCCTCGGCTTATTACAGCACACACTTGCAGGAGGGATCCAAAACAGAAAGAGGGAGGCTTCCTCTGCTAGCTTACAGCTGCTCAGCTCTCCTTAACCTTGAAAATAAGAGAGCCTGCTGCAGCCACTGCAGTAATACAGCTTAAAGATGATGGGCACTTTTTACCACGGCTGCTGTGGTTTCTTCACTTCTCCATCACATGCTGAAGGCGGTACAGTAAGGGGATGCTGTCGGGTTGTGTTAGGCTGGACGTGATCTCATTTGGTGCACAGCTGCTGCTGAGTCATGAGAAGCACGCGTTTGCTATAGATCCCGGCTCTGCAGAGTTCCCCGGTTTAAAATGCTGCTTTACTGGGCAGCGATAATCAATACTCGTGTGTCGAGCGTGCTCCTGCGTCATGTCACGGTGGGTGAGTGTCAGGATGTGTCTGTGTTCAGTTTAAAGTGCAGCTGTCCTTTGTGTGTGGGTGTGTGTTGCCCTTGTCTGCATAAAAAAGGGATTTGAAATGTGCATTCATCAGTGAGACGGCTGCTTCATTGAGCCCAGAGGGGATTCCTACCGCACACTGAAAACACCACCCAAATTTACCCGTTTACCCCCATCCTGCTGTGTCTGAAGCTATCCATCCAACATTTATCTTTCTGGCCTTCATGCACCCATCCATCTTTTCAGCCTTTAAACATGATTTTGCAGAGGTGCTTCATGTTTAAGTCAAATAAATCAATTAATCCATCTTTTATTCTTTTTTTTATTTTTCCTATCCAGCACTCACCCCTCCCTCTCCTCCCTCCTCTCCCTGAAAACTTCAAAGAGGCCATGTTTCTAAAAGAGGGCTGGTCCAGAGCCCCAGGGGGCTGCTAGTGGATCATGGATGCTTGTGACTGGATCATAGCTGCACTGAGCACTGCTGCTACCTGATCTAATCTCTAGTCTGTGTGCGTCTGTTTATACTTTAGCTGGAGTAACGTTCACACGGCTGGGTCACGCATGAGCGTCACATCTTCACAAGTTCATACCTGCACTTCACACCTGCACATACCGTGAAGATAAACTGTGTTTAGTGAACATATAATCAGGCCTTTAGCTCAACTGGAGAAGCCATACATGTCATGTGACCTGACATTAACCTGTACTTTGAGTTTTTAGTTTGAGTTTGTTTACTTATGATTGGAAAAGAAGAAAACTGTATTAAATGATTACATTGAAGTTGCGTTGACAGGGGACATTTTTAGACTCTGTGAGCTTCAGGAGACTCGGTCGAGTTAATTAAACAGTTGTAAAGTTGAACGGTTTTGTCTTCGTTCGTTAGCCGAATACCCAACAGACTAATTTAGGAAAGCTAAATGTTAAGCCGACATGGTTTAATGACTGCGGAGACTGTTCGCAAAAGGCATGAACTACTGGGCTAAGCAGACTTGTTTACAGCGAGATAGCAGTAATAAACTTATAGTTTTGTTTTTTTGATCATTGAGGAGCAAAACTTTGAAAATCAAAATTTCAGAATAAGCATTAATTTTATAAAATGCGTCTCTTTTTTTTTAAGTCTCATTACTGTAGGTGTCTCAGCCATTTCTGCTGTGAGCTGGCATTTTGAGTCAGCTGACAATATGACATGCTTTAAATGACAACCTTTTCCTCTGCACACTAAAGGAGAGCATAAAGAGATGCAGAAGTAAGAGGTTAGGGAAATAAATGGGCAGAAAAGCAAGAGAGAATTTAATGATTTAGTGAATCATTTTTATAAAATGATTTTGTGATTTTTGGTACCTCCGTAGGTTAAAGCAAACGCATTTATGAAGCGTGGGCCGACTTGAAGGACACTCTTGTTCTGCTGTTCATGCTTCACGCAGCCTCATTCATATCGTAAACTCAAGGTTCACCTGCTTTATCAGGCGCTGTCGCCCGTATCTCTGCAGCAAATGGCCTGACAGAAATTGTACTGCAGCTCAAAAAATAACGAGCCGTGTTTGAAAGCTTCTGAAACTTACGAATTCACCTGATGCATGAGGGAACGGCAGACGTGCACAATGGGGAAAAGAGGATGAAGTGCTGTAGCAGTGGGAGTGCAGGCTCTGTGCACAGATGCAGACCTCACACAGAGTGCAGTGTCAATATTAAGATGGAGGAGTCGATGCTCTGCATTTCCCTGCAAAGGAGGCTGCATGTGCACGAAACACATATTTGTTGATTGCTGTTTGAGTGACAGTGTAGTCATGGAGTAACTGTAAGAAATGCTAACCTGCTCGCTGTAGCCCCCACGTCTCAGTGCAGGCATGTGTGGTGTGAATAATGACGAGTTGTCATGTAGCAGAAGCGTTTGTTCGTCTCAGTTTTGTGTTTACATCGTGGTTGAGAGGCTCCTTTAGTGATGCAGAATCTTTAGCATATGTCATTTTCACTGAGTGAATGAGGACTCAATAGATGTTACTTTACGAGAAGCTGGAAGCTATACATGCACGGTGCTGTTGCCGACCTTGCTCATCTTCATCACGTTTCCTTCTCTCTCCTCTCCCTCCCGTTCCTCGTCTTTTTGGCTGTTGCTGCAGTCTCCTGGCACGCGCTGGACTTTCATACTGCTCTGTATTAGCAGCAGTGAGAGAGAAACTGAAAGACTGAGAGAGGGTGGAGTGTCGGACTGTAGCTGAGTTAGGGAAAGAGAGATGACAGAAGAATACAGATGACAGTAGCGGCAGCCTAGCACTGACAGTAACCGCCTATACGTCACTCTGCCTTTGTTGCTCTGGGCAGATGGATCCAAAGAGCTCCAACTGAGAGGAAGAAGAACGCAGGGGGTAAATGGCTGAGTGGTCGTGTAGCTAAGTGAACCGAACCAAGCGTTAGGAAGCCGTCAGTCTTTGTGGAAGACTTTCTTTTAGACCCACCCCTAATAAGCATGCACGTCGTTAGAAGAGCTTTCAGGAGCTGTGTGCTGCTGCATCTGTGGTGTTTAGAGGCGTTTGCACACACAGACTCCTGAAATGTTAGTAGAAAATGCATGCTCACACACAGCTGGTTTTTCATTTTTACGCAGTAGAGCACACTCACTCTGCTTTATCATCCATTCAGACAACAAATTGAACTGTAATGTAGAAAATTAACTTCTTGTTCTATTCAGTAAGACTTGAAACCAGAAACTGAGATTATGAACCCATCAGAACAGTGTTTAAAGAGAGTTGACACCTGTGAATGTCTGTACGGTACTTATGTGGTTTTAAACACTTTTATACTGGTGTCACTTTTCAGAACTGGAAGCTGTGTTCACAGTTTATATACAGTTTGTAGGCAGGAGTTTATCTGAAGCTGTCATTACAGACGGTAGTTGGCATGAGTCGTGCTCTCCCAATTGAAAATTCTTGCTAATGTAATTCAGGGAGCTCCTTAGTGGAGGACGACAACCTCTGGCTCGCTGTGAATACACGAGACTGAAGACTCTTATGGGTTTTGTGCTCCGGAGCTGGCTGGTTAAAGGCTGTTAAATGTCGTCTTTTGTTTGTGAAAATTATTAGTGTTTAGGCTTCTTAGTTGTTTTTTTGCCCCCAAATTATTAAAAAAAAATTTTTTTTCTTAATGCAACCACAGACTGACTTCAACACACAAAATATTAATTGGTGATGTCAAAATGGTTAATATAGTTTCAACAAATACTTGTAACAATGTATCTGGTTGTGTGATTGAAGTGGTTTGACCTTAATCTGATCTGAAATCATCAGACAAGCTCAGTAATTCACGATCTCATGCTAATGTTCGGTGATATTTTCACAGCAGACGCAGCAGAAATGTTTATGTTTATCAGATTGTACAGATCAGAGTCTGACGACCACAAACAAACAGGAAAAAAGCAAAACAAAGCTTTTTTTTGTTCCAACTCCTTTTTCAGGCCCGACCTGATCGACATGGAGGTGGTGTCACGGCAGAGTAACCGTGAGAACCTGGAGCAGGCCTTCGAGATCGCTGAGTCGTTAGGTGTGACCAGACTGCTGGATGCTGAGGGTGAGACTGTTGATCCACTGTTGAGTC